GCCGCGCTGCCGTCTGACCTCAGACCCGGAGCCGCCCCTCGCAGATGCGCAGTGGCTCTGTCGCGCCCCAGACCGACCGAGAGGTTCGCCCGGAATCCGGTCAGCGAGCTCAGGCCCTGCGGGAGGAGCGGGCGGTGCTGGGGTCGCGGGGACGCCCCCTGCCGGCCGCTTCCCGCGCCCAGGCGCCGCCGCTTCCGTGGGCCGGGTTCTCGGAGGGTGGCGGGAGCCCGAGTGCGCGCGTTCGCGGCCGTTCGGACGGACTCGCGCTCGGGGCTCACGGGGCGTCTGCCAGTATCGGGCGAGCCGTGCTGAGGCCGGGCCGCGGCGTCCGCCTGCCTTGCTGGTGGTTTTCGGGCAGCGCGGGTGACGCGATCGCCCCGGCCGGGCGCGGGCGGAGGGGGCGTCGTCTCCCCACGCGGCCTCTGGGCCGGAGCCGCGGCGCAGTGGGTGCTGCTGCCCGGCCGGGCGCTGTCCACGCGGCCAGGCCCGGGACGAGCCTCGCGCTGCCCTCACAGGCGGACTCCGACCTCCGGCGGCCCGGCCTGGCGTCTGGGCCAGAGCTCGGTGAGGCGGACTAGGACGTGACCCGCAGAGCGGCTGGAGGGCGCGCAGTCGCGCGGTCAGCGCCAGCTGTGGGCGCCAGGCTGAGGAGCCCGCGCTGGCCGGACCAGGGCTGCTCGCAGCACCGCGCTGCCGCACGCTCCCGGGGTATCCGGACTAGCGCTGGGCCGGGCTCGCCGCGGAGGCTGGGCAGCATTGCTCACAGGAGCAAACCAAAGGCCTCCGCTTTGGCGAGGCGAGAGGTGTGAGGAAGCGACACCTCCTGGCAGCTAGTGCCCAGCCTGCGCGTGCTGCCTCGTCCGGAGGAAGGGCCAGGCTGGGGCACGGGAGGCACTGTTTGAGCTTCGATCGGGAAGTCACCCGAGTGTGTTAATCCTAACCCTTCTGCCTGGCAGGTGGGGCTGGGAAAGGCGCCCGGGACCTGTTCTTCTGCCTTAGATGACTGGCCCAAGAGGAGCCCACGGCCCGACCCACAGACCGCTCCAGAAGGCTTCTCCTGACACCCGTCCCCGGGTCTGCTTCCCTGAGCCGGGCCTCAGAGGCTCAGGCGACAGCAGCCGCGTCCTCTGCCCCTCCAACAGCCGCTGCACGTTGCGGAGGGAGGCAAAGCTTCGGAGCCCTTGCTGTCCATTGTAGGTGAGCAATGTTTGCTGTGGTAGACATGCTCCGTGTGTGTCCTTTGCTGGTGTCAAGGCAACACAGCTCGTGGAGCTGGAGGAAATCCTCATGCACAGCTGCCGACATGGAGACTGTGAGGTCGAAACCCAAGACCAGGACAGGCTGTAGTGACTTTAATTCATCTTAAAATGTACATCAAGAAACTGAAAGGAAATATGCAACCCATTAAATGGTGAGACTATAAGGTTTTTTTCCCCTTTGACCTTTAAAATATATTGAGTATAAGGAAGATTCACTCATTTCATCAGAAATGTAACAATATTTATCTAAAATTGGAAATTGTGCTTTTGTTGCCTGAGGTTTTCTAACATCAAATCTGGATCAGGCATAGCAAAAGCTGTGGGCCTTCTCTTTCCTTGACCTATATATAGGTGCCCATTTTCTATAATTTGGCTGTAGTTTCTCTTACATGAAATCTGTGATTTTTAAGCCACATAAAGTTTCTAGCCTGCTGTTGCCCCAAACCTGCAGGAAACCTCAGAGGTACATCTGTGAAATACTTTCTAAAACAGGGAAGAACTCAGCCTCACCCAGGTGCATGTTTATTTCTGTTACTAAGAACAAATCAGAATGTTGCAAAAGGAATGAAATCTCCCAGAACAGCAGCCACCACCACTTACAGGAGCCCCAAAGTGTCGTCTGCATCCAAAGTCAACAAGCACTATTTTCAAAAAGAGGATGGAGAGCCAATAGTAGTGGGTGCTGAGGTTGATGAGGAGAGAGATCGTTAGTGGTGGGATTGTAGGGCCTTCTTCCCCATGAGCACTTGTCAGCAGTCTGCGTATTTTCCTGTCTGAGCACAAATGATACAGATACAGAATCAGACAAAGTTAGGGCAGGAGAGAGCTGGCAAACAGAGCCATGGGGGGGAGTTAATATTCCACAGGACATTCAACCATCTGAAATGTGTGTGTGTGTGTATAGTATTTGAAAAAATTAAAAGACTATACTAAACAGTGTGCAGGTTTCTCTTTGAAAAGACTTAAAGCTCTGCAGGGTCATTGGCCAGTTTATCCTAAAAATTAAATGATAACAAAGCACAAATATGTAGGTGAAGGGAGAGTCAAGGCAGTGGTTTTTGTTTTTTGTGGGACTGGGGATTAAACTCAGCACCTTCCCACTTTCCTACATTTTCAGCCCTTTTGAAGTTTTGTGACAGGGCCTAACTAAGTCACTAAGCTGCCCAGGGTGGTCTTGAACTTGTGATCCACTTGCTCCCAGAGTGGTGGGATGACAGACGTGTGCCACCATGTCCTGCTCAGGACAACCTTGTTTTTAATGACAAAAAAGAAAAATCAGAGGTGATCTAAATGCCTAGTAATAGAGGAACCACTAAATAAAAATAAACAGTGATGCACCTTGTGAACAATATTTGCTCACTGATTTAAAATGATATTGAACAATATAGAAAATTTTTTACAAATATTGTTCCATTTTTATGGAACAGGCTACCACGCTGTGCTATGAATTCACATTTGTAAAAGATTTGGGGCCCATTATACTTTCAAAAATATAAAAGTACGGTGGTACCTCAGTTCATGAACTTAATTTGTTCTACGATTCTGGAAAAAGTGGCTGCATCTGTGTTTGTGTGGGGAAGGTGGCTGCAGTCCTGTTTGTCACCCAGTGCAGAGTTCACAAACAGTAGAAGTTTGCTTCTGTTTGAGAACCAAATTGTTTGCAAACAAAAGCATTCATGAACTGAAGTACCACAGAGACTAGAGCAAAATATTTTACTGCTTATGATTATTTGTTTTAGGGCATAATTTAACAGTATCTTTTTTGTATATGTAATTTTTCTAAAATCACATGTGTTTCTTTTATAATTAAAGGTGAAAATATAACTAATAAAGAATATTTGACTTAAAGTTCTTGAACATTAGGAGGCATCTTTAGATGGTAGAATACTGATTTTTCTTTTTTACTTAGTCTTATCTATAGATTTTCTCAATTTCTATAAGAAATAAGTATTGGCTTCAAATGAAGATATCTTTTGAATTGAATTTTAAGTATGTATAAATAGTTATCTTGTAGGACAAATACTAATTTGTTTTGGAAAAAGAAATTGCAACTTTTATTTGTTTGCAATACTTTATATTTCCTGGGGTTGTTTTTCCCTTAAACATGTATGTCTTTTGTGATGACAGGAACATGTGTTTTTCGTGTCTCCGCTTCCATCACTCCTCTCAGTGAGGCACTGAGGGCCCGCTCATAATGCTCCACTCCTTGTTTCCCCAGTTCCCCTGGAAGAGCACAGAGATGCAGAGCTGACATAATAACCCCTTTGCCAGGGTCGCTCTCCACTGTCAATGGAGCACACTGTAAGTGTCATCTGGGGAGCCCTAACTCTCGTGGTTAGGTCAGAAAAGGAGGCAAAAGCCCACTGAGCTTGTGTAATTTGCCTAAGGAGGTGGTTTCAGAAAGACTGAAGCCTAGGTTTGTGATCCTGGGTTTCTGGACAGCGTTTTGTGCATCTCTCTGAATCGCTCTCTCTCTCTCCTTCAGTGTCCTCTAAGTGCCAGGGTATGGGGCCTGGTGCATCCAGATGGGGTGACTTCTAATTCACTCACATTTGCTTTGGAGGGACCAGCATGAGTCTGAGGAACAGCAGCTTTGGGAGGCGTTGAGTGGACGTGGCCTCCTCGCTTCGCCCTGGACTTGGTGTGTCTACCCACAAGCCCTGGCCACTGCTCCAGCTCCCCTGCCCCGCAAGGCTGCCCCTTCTCAAGCTCTTCTCCATGCTGTGCCTTCCTTGGCAGTGGCTGGGTTTGCTAGGGCTTCTGTCAAAAACATGGGGGCCACAAGAAGCAGCTTCCATGCACACCATTGCCCTGATTCCCTGAATCCCTGCTTGAGAGGCATCAAGAAACCCAGGCTATCTGTTTGACAGGAAGGTTGCTATCCTTCCCAATCCTAACTCAAAAATAAATTCTGTCTCTCTCACCTCCTCCACTGGGCCACACAAATCCTCTGCCTCACCAAGATTCAGAGTTATTGAGCAGTTTTCAACCTTACTATGCTTCTGGTGGTAGAATTTGGGGGGCTCAACTGAGGGGACTAAGAGATGCCAAACAAGACCACACGGGTCAGCTGTGACAGCACAGCACTGTGGCTCTTTTTTTCCGAACCAAGCTTACCCTCGCCCTTAGCAGCTGAGATGGAAAGGTACCTCTGGACTTAGCTTCACGTTAGGAAGGGCTTGGAGAGCTCTTAAAAATCCTAATGCCCAGCAAACAGGAGGAGGCTTCTGGGCAGCTGTACCACCCCTGCCAGCACAGAGGAGGTGAGCCACTCCCAGCGAACAGGAGGAGGCTTCTGGGAAGCCGTACCACCCCCGCC